GACCGGAAAAAAAAAGAAACTCACACTATTCACAGCTTTTGACAACCAAAAAACACATGCTATATTCTTACTTTATTGGTGTCTTACCTTAAAAGCGAACTGCAATACTGTTTGTGTAACATTTTGGGGTTAGAAAGAAGCAGCATTGATGAGTCCACTTAAAACCACAATAAAGTAAAATGTACACAGTAATTTGTAAAACCTCCAATTTACATCACGAAACAGAGGAAATTTCCAGGTACTGTATGAGCAACACCATATTCTGAGATTCAAGAATATTCTGAGATTCAGAATGAGGCAATAAAATGTCCGGTGGCGTGTTGCGGCCTTATTACATTGTAAAGAAGCAGGCTTGTGAATGCATCTCTTTTAATCCAATGGAAATATTGCAATCCATTATAAGGTGGTTTTGCCGACAAATTCTACTTGTTAACTCTGCATGCAGATCACGTTGGAACATTTCTGCAGTGAAACGTCTGCTGCACAACATGCACTTGTTCACTTGTATATGACATTACATTAGTCATTACGGTGGCTAGTGAGCAGGAAGGGCAATTATGTTGCAATTTGTGAGAACTCAAATGTGAGTTTTGCGACAACATGACGACTTACAGTACCTTCGCAGAGTTCACAATTTCGTGCTTAATTCAAAATGTGTCAATTTTTTCTGCAACGTCAATGAATTTATTTTGTTACCAAGATTAAGTAACCAGTCTGGAAATGGGAAATGCAGTTCCCCTTTATCTGAATTTGTGCAGATGAAGTCTGCTGGAACGAGGACTGGGCATTTTCAACATACAGACGAACAGAAATGATAAATCTGGGCACTGTCTCCACATGTCAGATATGAAGGAAGTCCCCTCCCTGCTAACGAAGCTGCAGACCCAATGTTGCAGTGAGGTCTAAAGGGTGGGCCTTCCAATGACAAAAAGAATAATACCACCCCACTGTGAGATCCACCTAGTATTAAAATAGGGATGATCCAGAATTTGGCCTGAAAACCGCAGAAGTATGGGGAACTTTTCATCAGATATCAGGAGCTGAGCAGGGGCAAGCCTAGTCAGTGGTGCACTCCTATGACATGACACTCTTCTGACTCCATTAGAAGTGTAAGTCAAATCTTTCTCTATTCATAAGGCTGTTGAGACATTTCCGGTGCACTGCGGCATTAATGAAGCCACGTCATTATTTATCAGAGCAGGAGATGTATACCTCTGTACCATGGATATGTTCGTAGGGCTCAGGAAGCACTGGTGTTGGGCCTATAGGGTAGAACTAAAGATCACAGGACTAAGTCTAAAAGCAATGCCAAACCAAGATGATTTCTTTTACAGTAGATCACTGTTAAAAAAAGGCCTGTTCCTTTGGTTGAAGTCTAAAGATCTCTTGACACTATTTAACTATCACTCTGTCATGGGAACGTCATGATAAAAAGTGACCTTCCTTAGGACACTAGGTGTTAATGAGATGATGACAAGCTGGCGCTGCGATTTCCACAACTAGACTCGGACAGCCAGAGGGTCTTCCTGTATTTCATCCGGACTCTGCAGGAAATGACTTCACCAAACCAGTTACTGATCCAGGGCTTCGTTACATCGAGGTTCTGACCCACTGATGGCAAATTCCAGACCTGGCAGCAGGTTTTCACTGGGCAGAGTCACAAAATCACAATCAATCTGTTTAACTACTGACGGGACAGTTCCCCTTTAGTTCCAACCCTAATGACTCTAAAATAACCTGGTAGATACTGATGAATCTCTTCAGGACCAGCAGAAGACATGCACTGTTTGCATATTAGAGAGGGAAGAAGCTAATCAGGGGAAAGCACTTCCGTTGACGATAGCCAATTGAGTCTCTTAGCTGCAATGAAAAGCATTGAGAAATGTGTCTAGTTGGTTAACGTCTACTTGCCAAACTTCACCAGGATTATCAAGTTTATCTCAAAAACGTTTTTATATGAAATGAAGACCCATTACCTGAAGTCCAGTGTAAACTATGTGTTGCAAATTATAACACAGTTTAACCAACTGGGTAGAATCCTTCCCCTTAATTTAAACCATTCAGCACAGTTTACAACACTGTTCAAACTGTTCAGCATTTCAGCTACTTGTACTTTGACATTTTGTTGGGGGAAAGCATCAGGCACTGCACTCTTTTTTTATGCCTAGTCTTCCAGAAGACATGTCAGATGAGAGTTAGGGTTAAATCGGATAAGCCCACTGGAACTGATCATTTTACTTATTTCACCTGACACTTAATTGGTTAAGCAAACATCTAAAAACAACTGCATTTTTTTGCTACTGTTAAAGGCAATTGTGACCTCTCCTGATGCAACACTCTCTGTAATGTAGAACAAGGTGGTGTTCCAGTATTCAAAGGGAAAGAGAATTCTGAATGTCCCAGAAAACTAAAGAGTATTCAGTTTCAGATACCCAGAGACTCCTTTCCTTGCAGACTACCACTCTAAATGTAATCCAAAATAATACAATAAAATCCCAGCCAAATGTGCTGTCAATACAAAACTATAATATATGATGGTGAAACAGCACTGTCACATTTGTTGGGGTGAACACTATCGTACTACTGACATTATTTTTCCCCAACTGAAGAGCAGCTAACTCTACCGCAGAAATAAAACTAGTTTTCTGGGTGTCAAGTTTTAAATAATCCTGTATTTGTACTGCTCTAGGCTTCACAACAGAGTCGGTCTACTCTTTCACCCCCACACTAGTCTGACAATCTGAATCTGTCAGTCCACAGATCACATCTTAAAACACATTCGACTCCAAAATGGACGTTAGCTGTAGCACACCTTAAGGGAATATCAGAGCTAGTCCCAACTCCCCAGACCTCTACCCTGAAAAGGGAAACGCATCATCGCCATCAAGCCAAATCAATCTAGACCTGTCAGCACCACGCAGCAGCTGCTCTGGCATCCAATCTGCTCCTGAAGGATAAGACCACTGCCCCTTGTCCTGTAAAACCGAGCAGTTTCCCTGAGTGATGTGCTCTTCTACAGCCCATCATGCCATTCTGAATGCCAAACTAGCAGTATGCGCAGTTGTTTCAGGGCCCTCAGTGGAGCTCAGTTACCTGACCTAGTTCAGTATATCCATTCTGGATGTAAGCACAAGTAAAACAGAGTTGCTGGACTTCGAGACCCAGCCCAGAGGTGCCAGCTAGCGCAGGCTGCGGCAGATCCTGTTTGAAACCTGACCTCATGTGGCTCAGACTCAGCAGTCTTCACAGTCCCCAGTCTGCTACTGTTAAACAACACCCATTAAAATGAATCCATATGGAAGTTTAAATCACCCTCAATATCTTTTAATCTGATTCCAAGACAAACATACACATATAATTTCATGGAGAGTAGCTATGATCATACAGCAGGCAGCTGACCAGTCCACATGAAAGCTGCCTGCTTGTATCCAAAAATCCATGACCCCAGTAACCATTTTAATGTTGCCATGGCTTTGGGATCCTGGTTGAGGAAAAACGCGCGCAGAGAAATCTATTTACAGCTGCAAAATTTCTATCTAAGCACATCAAGAGTTCCAACTGAGAACTGAGTCGTCAAGCTCTGTACTGAGTGAACAGTCCCATGGCTGTTTGGTGGTCTATTGCTTTAATGATCCTAAGACACTTGCTGGACAAAACACAGGCGACTTTCCAGAGAGTGGCTATCTGGGCTTTGAGAGTGCGGCCGGAACAGCTTGGGCTGGATATGGTGCATATCTGCAGCCCACTCGATTCCCTCTGGCAGACTGATGTGTCCTCTTACGATGTGGGTAGCGGTGTATGTGAATGAACTGCACAAAATCAAATAGTTCCAGCAGTTTGCTACAAGATTGAGGATCACTCCAGCCGCAAAGAGAGATAAAAGTCTCGGTCACACTTTCAAACGACTATAAACTGGTTACTAAATGAGAGATTGCTCATTTTTTACTGTCTTGGGGTATGTCATGTTTTGGCCAGTTAGTGTGTTCCGTGTGTATAAATAAATATCGATAAGCACTCATTGTTGTTATATATAAATATGTTCAGTAGGCTTGAAACCTAGTGATAAGCATGGGTTAATCTGAGGGCACTAGTAAACAGGATTCAAAGGGAGAAAACACCAGGAGGGCCTGGAAGTCAGACTGGAGGTCAATGAGTTTGCAGCAACATGTGGACCATGGAAGAGAACTGAAGGGCTTCATCCAGCAGTGGACTAATAAAGGCTGACCATTAGAATATCTATTCATCATTTACAGACTCTCCCTGTGTTACTCAACACCGTACTTTTCGCGCAAATTTACATTAACATAAAACCACCATAAATTCAACGATTCCGATTTCCATGAAAATTTACTGATGCATATATGAAAATGGAAATTACTCACTGCCAGTACAGAGGAAATTCTGTGTGGGCAGGGCGCATGCCTGCATCCCATTCCTAGGTGCTCTGCATGGTGCTTAACTGCTGCTCTACATGCTGAAGCAATATTTCAGAACTTTCCATAACAGTCCGTAACTTTTGGTGCTCTGATCAAGCCTCGATACATGTAAAAGCCATTTCAAAGATTGCAGTGTAACAAAGAAGCAGTCTACCATCAACCCTTCTGACAAGCAAGCAAGCCAAAACTAGGTGTTAAACGTATGAAATCCTAGGATGTCAAGAGGGCCAAGCGGTGTTTTAGCCAATTTAGTTTAAAATACGTTCCTGCCACATTCAGTCTAGTCCAGCAAGTTTTAACTTAAATATCCAGTGCAGAACGAATACCTCCTCCCAAAATGCTGAACTCAAGAAACATCACAGACAGCGCTACAGGATAAACTCAAATTAACACTCACTGTAAACGGAATTTCAAAGAATAACTAAATTTGTGAATACTGCTAGGTGCCCCTTTTCACAAAAAGGGCAAGCAAACCATTTGAATTTTGGGGGGAAAAATTCCAAAGTTCTGTTGTGAAATAACAATAATGATATCAATAACACTGGGAAGTGCCGTCCGACTCACCTGAACTTCCTCCCCGCGTGTGGACTCATCCCCAAGAAGCGGCTCTGCGGGCGGGGCTTTGATGGTGACGGACTTCTCTGAGCGACTGTCTTTACTGCGGGATTTGTGTCGCTCTCGACTCCTCTCTCTGAAAAACACAAATTCGCCCTCGGGTCACGAAAGAGAGGAAAAACGACCTGAAAAACTCCCATCTGGTTAATAGCATGGAATCCCTTAAGTAAACACCTCCTGAAACCCACAAACAGTTCAACTGGTTTTAAGATCAGGGGAACCACGGATGAAGCTGCTCT